TGCTTAAATAAAAGATATGAACTGAGTTACCTTGCATTTCAAAGGCATGAGGTGTTGACGTTTACAGAGGAAAATTCTGAAGGAAGAGTGGAAAGAGAGACTGAAGGAAGAGACACTGAAATTTGCCAGGGAGAAGAATAAGAAAATATCCTATCACCATGTGGCCTAAGAGGACTAGGGAACATAACATGCAAAGGATATTTTGGGTGGTAACTGCGAAAGCTGTCAGAATTAAAATGGAGTTGCTTTTGTTAAGCCCTAACTAAAAAATAAACCTGAAAAATTTTGAAAGATCTTATGCATGATTGTCTGATAATAAGATGTAGGCACAAAAGCCTGAACTACAATTTAAAACAAAAGCTGCCACAACTTTACATACATACACACAAAAAATAATTCTGATAGGTCATTTGCCTAATAATTGTGTAATACTTGAATGAGCAATCTTTGTTATTAATCCTTGTAGCCAGAAGTTAACGTTGAAAATGTCTTATGTAAGCATCCTCATTTTGCCTTTGAAAACATCCCCTTGCCTCAACCTCTGAATATTTTCATAGTTTATTATGCCATAAATACTCCCCTTGAAATGGTCTGCTGTCCTCAAATAAACCTATGAATCTTTAGGGAATCTTTCTCTGTGTGTTATTTCAGTGACACTTCTCAGGGAACCAGTCTGATCCAATCCAAAAGAAAATGCTCTGGAGTCCATAAAATATTCCCTTAGTGAACAGAGATGGCTAGAGAGTAGAGGCAAAGAAAATGGCCCTCATTAAAAGGAATCCTCAGAAATCTGGGATTGGGGGCTGAGAAATTAAATATTGGAAAAAGCCAGTGTGAGTCAGAGGCAAAAAGAAACAGTCTCAAAATTTGGCGTGGGAAGTAGGGTCAGACAGTGAGAATGAATGAAGATTTAGCACGGAATTCTGAATTTATAAACCAGAGAATTCAGAACTTAAGTGTGTTTAAGCAATGCCAAAATGGTTAAACAAGAAATTACAAACTCTCCAATCTTTTCCTTCTACTTGAAAATAATCAAAACCATCTGTTCCACCATTTTTACAGCTGCTTCAAAATAATTATATTTAGGTCTTACCTAAAATTGTACTTTATATAAAAAAAATTTAAATGGAACCACACTCCCTATTGTGGGGTCAATTTTCTTATTCAATGGCATTTTATTTAATAAGTTTTTCCGTGTTATGTCTATATGTGTCCTGTACCAAACTGAGCACAAGTTTAACAGTTCAAACTGCCTGTCTAGGAGAAAGGAAAACAAATTAAAGAGAAAATAAGTACAATTGTTTAAATTGTAAAGAATGACAAAATAAGAAGAAACACTGTAATTTGCAGTATTTTTAGTCAGGTTTCATACCTGCATCTAAAATGCCTCACTGTTTATGATGCAATAAATAAAACAGTAATCTCAGGCAGTGTTGGTATATGTGATTATTGTTATCTCAGCCTGAATAGCAGCCTTCAGGAAAGTCTTGTAACATGTTTTACATTTTATTTGGTGGGAAGTAATTAGTAATAAAGTAACCCCCTAAGTTGGGTTGGATTTCTGATGAACTCATTCATACTTACACTCTATGCCAGTGGTGCAGAAGGTGCTTAACTGAGAAAAAAAGGGAGAATCTCAAGGCATTACATTGTTATATAGTTACTCTTCACAATTAAATCTTCATAAATCTATAAGAAAGGAAGTTTCATATCATTTTTTTGCAGATAGAAAAACTCAGACTAACCTCAGTGATACCCAAAGGCCAAGAAAAGTCAGCTTGTGAACCAGAAGATCCACTGTCCATGTGAGGTACTTCAGTTATGGACAACACAAGTAAAAACTGAACCCATGAGAAAAGATGCAAGAATGATTGAACAGGTAGGCAAAAGGTTAGTGAAAGATCGAAGGAAGGAAAGATGGTGTAATGAAAAAGCATCAACCTCAAAGCCAGAAACAGGAGCTAAATAAGCACATATATCCTGAAACTCTGCGTCTTGGTTTTCCTTTATGTAAAAGATAATTCATGTTGACTATCATGACTATGAAAATCTGAAACATTCTGAGCACTGGCATTGACCTCACAAGTGTAAAACTCTACACCTGAGCTCGTGTGACAAATCACAGTAAAAATGTAGGTTCACTAAGAATAGTGTATAAATTTCAGGCTATGTGTATAAGGTGTATATAAAACCTAAATGCATTCTGTGTTTAGACATAGGTCCAAGCCTCAGGATATCTCATTATGTATATGCAAATATTCTAAAATCTGAAAAAAACTCTAATCCAAAATACATCTTGCTCCAATCATTTCAAATAAAGGATGATCAACATACAATAATGGTTACCTACACCCAAGGTTTGTTTAGAGGGTTAGATAAAGCAATGTATGTAACACATACAGCCCATCTTCTTTGCTTCTTGTCACTTTTTCCTTTCCACTTTTCTCCTTCACAAATTTGCCCAGTGGTAGTCTCAATACTAATAGGAGATAGGAAATCAAAGTTATTTTCAGAACTCATGGGAAAGGAAGAAAGATAACAAGAGTTATTCTTTTTAGTTAGAGAAGATTGTGCTTTGATATGATTCAAAACTCAGTCTATATTTTTGGTCAAAAGTTGATAGGACCTTTTAGGCTTGAGCACTCAATTCTTATTTTAGGGCCTTCACAATATTGGGAAAAGAATGCATGGAATTCCACTTTGGCATTTCTCAGTGGTACTTTCTCATGTTTCCCAACAACTGACGCCTCTAATTTGTGCTCTCCCCAGCATATCATGCACTCACAAGATTGAAGTCATATGGGTGCATGTTCTTTAATTTCTCCATTGCCACTCCATGACCTCATGCTTTTTAAATTCAGATTAAACCCCTTTGTTCTCTTCATCCCAGGTTTGTGAAGAAAGTAACTTTGCATTCATTTTTATACATCAAATGGACTAGGTACAGTGACACATAGTTTGCATCTAATAAAAATTGTTGACAAAGTAGCCTGACTTGAACTCTGAGCAGGAGAATTAGGATGCCATGTTGAAATGTATGGTAAAACAGTCATTTAGATTTTGTTGAATTTCAAACTACCTGAAAAGACAGGTGTGTAGCTCAATGGCAGAGGACTTCACAACATGCAAAGTCCTGGGCTCAATATCCACAATCTACCAATAGAGGAGGTGGAGGGGTGGTGAGTCTGACTGTGTCTGGAGTGAAGGCAGGACAGAATTCAAATCCTATTACTACAACTGGAAGAAAAAAACAAAACAAAACAAAGATAATAACAACAACAAAAGAATAAAAACAGAGGGAATCCTTGTGTTTAATTCCCCAACACTGTGTGAAAAAAGGAGATAGAACAAACAATTTGTATTCATATTTTTTATTGCTATTACAAAATATCTGAGGCTAAATACTTCAAAAAGAAAACAGGTTAACTTAGCTCACAGTTTGGGGGATGGGGGAGCCTCACTGTTTCAGTTTCTGATGATGGCCCTCTTGGCTGCAACACATCTTGGTTGATGGCCTTATGGCAGGAATGTACGAGAAAGGGAGAAATCATAGAGCAAGATAGGAAGCCAGAGAGGAATTCAGGCATCAGCCTTGCTCTTTTCCAGCAACTTGCTTTTAAAAAGACTAACCACGTCCTACAGAGCTAAGGGAAGTGTACCCAATAATCTAACCAACTCTACCCCATTAAAGGGTCTATCACCACACTGAACAGCAAGCCTCTAACACACAAACCCTTGGGGATGAAGCATATTCAAACCATAGCACCACTCCAACCACCTAGTAGATAAGGGTCACCTGGACTGGTGGAGTGGGGTTCTGGAGTATGACCTTGCATTCATGGCTCACCCTTTAAAGCCTCCAATGGACCACCCTTTCCCTTTACTCTCCCTCTGCTTGTACTTCTGGTTTTGCTTCTCTATCTCTTCTTCTATGTGCATCACCATCAATATTTTCTGAGAAGGAATATGATTAGGCCATTTATCACCTAATACTGAAAACATTTTCATATATGGACACTCCAAAATCTTAAGGGTCAGTCCACGATAATTCCTCTAGGTTTGACTGTACACTGTGGTCTAATTAGCATGCCCAAGGTATACAACATTATGATGTTGGTGACCAATGTTGAAAGATGGCTGAAGGGAACTGGCAGGCAGCTAGAAATTTATAGTTGACACAGCTGTTGGCCAAATGAATCTTTGTGCTGAAATTAAGCTAGGTTTGCTAGGATTAGATTCAGCAAATAAAAACATGGGGCTCTCCTCTGGTGAAAGTGGAATTCTATACATACAAGAAATAATACTAGCTGCAATATTTGGGACACCTTTACATGTGCTAAAAAAATTCTTGTGATCCATGTAAGACCGTGCATCTCACCAACTGCTCTGAGGAGCTGACTACAGCAAGGATCACCCGGGAGGGAACCCACCGGACAAGTTGTGAGCTTAAAACAGACCTTTATTAGTCTGGCCAGATGGCACCCCCAAGCACCAAGCTTAGAGAGGCGAGAGGCTTAGAGCCTGAGGTCCTTTTATAAGAGATGCTAGGGGGAAGTTGGCAAGCAGAAATACAAAAGCAAAGTGCTGAAGGAGAGGGATTTTACAGATTGTTCTTAGGATAACATGTTCTGTTATGGAGTTGGGTAAGCATGACGGAACACGGCACACTTAACAAACCTTCCTGGCACAACAAGTACATTCCTGGAACTTGATGCTCTCCTGGTGATCCGTAACAGAAGCAGACAAGTTGGGGCCCTATTACAAAACGGAGTAACTGTTGTTCAGTCTCACAATCCACAGTATTCACTTTTTCTATCAGGATAAAACGACTTAGATGTAGTAGAAAAATGGATGGAAGAAAAGCGATAGAGTGTTTAAAGGTTGGGACAGAAAGATTAACTACAAAAGTAGAGTTGGGACAATTTTAGAAAAAAGTGGAATTTGAACTGGGCCGTACAAGGTAGGTAAAATTTCAGCAAGTAGGGGAGACAGGACAATTCTGTAGGCAGAGGGAACATCCTAAACAAAGGTATGAACAGGCTGAATGTAGGGGCCCATGGCTCAATGGACCTGTACTTGCCAGGGAAGTTGTACCACGGAAGCACAGTGTGGAGCACTTCTCATTCCAAGTGGAAGATTTACGACTATCAAAAAGGGACAGGGTAAACGTAGTTCTGTGTTTAGGGGCCAACATACTAGAAAGGTGAAAGATCAGAGGCCTGGAGATCAGTTCTGAAGCTACTGCAATAGCTCATTAGAGTGTGGAGCTGGAAAGGACACAGAAGATTGCGAACACGCCTTGTGTAGAAGAGTAATCCTTATCAAGTAGCCAGCAGGACAACCTAGGTAACCTGGGTCTCCTTATGTTTTCTATGAAATACTAATACTTACATCACAAGTTGGAGAAGGAACGTAATTGTGTGAAATACATGGTGATGGTCATTACTCAAGAAAAAAATATTTCAACGTTTCTCCCTCATTCTTTGTTAGTGCAGCTTGTGGGCCTTGGGTTGCTTTTGGTACTTGGCTAACCTCGTTTTACCCGTTGGCCCCTTCTGGACAGTGCACCTTCTCAAAGATCACAGCACTGGCGTCTGTATCCCTGCTTCTGCTAACACCTTTGCACACAGCCCTCAACAAAACCGTGAGTCTTCAGGATGTGAGTGACGGAGGGGGTGGGTGTGGAATCCCCCGACGAATACCCCCTAGGCTCCGTGGGTCTTGTCTAAGAGACCAGATCGCCCGCTCCACAGCAGCATCGCGACCAGCAGGGCCGCGCACAGCACAGTCCCTGCTCCCGCCCGCTGGTCGCGAGAGAAAGGGTGAGGAAACCAGAGGGCTCACTTTCACTCGGGGGAAATCCCCCTCCTCCAGGCCTTCGGCTCCTTCCCGGGCACTGCTCGCTCTGTTCCTCCGCTTTGGGCTTCCTTGCGGTCCGAGAAGCAAAGGAGCGGTTTCCCAGAAGCTGCCTAGTGGGAGGCAGCGGCAGAGAGGCGGCGCGCGTGGGTCCGGGCGGGCGGCGGGAGAGGGAGGGGACTCAGTCACTAACTCTTTAATTCAGCCTCGGGGACCCGCGGAGGCCTTCCTGTCGGCGGGCGACGCAGGCTGGCGAGCGTCTCCGGCCTGAAGCAAGGGACGCAACCCAGAGACGCCGTCCGTCCGAGGCGGCAGTCACCGCCCACGCCGCTCGCAGAAAGACCCCGCGCTGCCCGCCACGGCCTCGCGCGCACTAGGCGGCGCGAGAGGAGTCCTCAGAGATGGACTCCTTCAGCCTCCCCAGCCTCCTTCTGGTCGCAGGCCTGCTGCTCCTCCTTTTGTGCCTGCGCGCCCGGCGCATCAGGTAAGCGCCCAGGCCTTCTGGCCACGCATGCGCCTTGGCCCCGAGGCCGCGCACCTCCAGATGGAGAAGGGAGCCCCCTCCGCGCTTTGCAGCGCGCACAGAGCTTGCTCCAAGCCCCTGGCGTCCTTTGGGAGAGCGTATAATAACAAAGGTTTCTCCTGTTTCTTCCCCCTACCTACGCATGCATATTAAAGATTAGGGGCCGGATTCGATTAACTGCTGCAGCATAGGTTGTAATAATTCCCTGGGTTCGCTGCCTACGTTGTGACGCGTGGCTTTCGTTTGCACAGAGACGTTTTTGTGCCATGTTACTGTGAGTTGGTGCTTTATGGCCTAGAATTCAAATAGCATTTCGTGAGGAAAATTTTCTTACATTTCTTTCAGTTAAGGCGAATGTTTCAGGAAAAAGCCTAAAGTGCATGTCTGGACGGTAACTCGGGGTGCTGGTCTGTGCCTCAGTTTACATGACTGTACCTCATCTGGAGAAATGAAATAGTAGTACTTGCCTTGTAGGATTTTTTATGAGTAGAAAATGAATTAGTAGTATGTGTTTATGCGTTTGCGCTATTATTTTTATTAAGATGAAAATAACTAACAACCCAATCCAGAAGTGTGTCCCTTCTTTTGGCTTGTAACATGGAAACAGAACCAGAAATGTTCAAACAAAATTCTTTACTTTAATTTCTTTTCTTTTCCTTTTTTTGTGTATGTACTAGCACAGTTTTCAGGCTTTAAAAAATATTTATGTATGTATTTATTTATTTATTTACTGGGGCACTAGGGATTGAACACAGGGCCTAAGTACTGAACTACATCTCCAACCTTTTTTTTCTTTTTTTTGTACCAGGGATCGAACTCCGGTCCTTGAGCTTGTAGGGCAGGTGGCAGAACCACTGAACTAAATCCCCAGCCCCCGTCCAGGTTTTTTTACAAAAATTGTTTTATTTTGAGACAGCCTTTCTAAGCCACTATGTTGCACAGGCTGGGCTCGAATTTGTGATCCTCCTGCCTCAGCACCAAGCAGATAAATTTTTTTTTGGGGGGGTGTAACTGGAATCATATATATATATATATATATATATATATATTTGCATAAGGGTATGTATCAATATATACATCTATATGTGTGTGATATAAGTTGTTTTTGATTTGGGGGAAGACAATTTTATTACTCATAAATATCTGTGGACATTTCTAGAATGCCTATGAATAAATACGTAGATAAAAGTAATTTTTTTTCCTTTCATGTGAGTTTTCAGAGGGCTTTCTAGAATGTGCATACCCTTTCCCAGGTTTTCTTCTCCAGTGGCTGTGCATTTTGCTTTACAGTGAAGATAATTAGGACACTTTAACTTCAGCGTTGCCTGATTCTGTATGAGTTCCACCTTCTTCTCTGTTTGCACTTAATATTCATATTTAGGAGTGTCTTTAAAGAGATAGTAGACAAGAAGGCTGTTTGTTCTCCTCCCACTTTACATGCAGGGCAGAAACAGACAAGCTGGCTAGGGCATTCTGGATCATTGAAAATAATTAGGGTGAGAATAGGGAACTTGTTGGAGGTACAGGCCAAAAGGCGAAATGGAAAAGTAGGCTTTCTTCTTAAGTATTCTGAGAACAAGTTGATCTTCCTCTTTATTAATGAAAATTATTTTGCAGTGGTATTCATGCCATCAGTTGTCAAATACTTCATACCAGGAAGATACCATTTAATGCAAATCTAGAGGGCTTTATATTCTAGATAAGTTTGATACAATATAGTTCCATACATAAACCATAACTCCATTTGTCTCAGTGTATGGATCAGTTTATTGTTACCATTTCTTGAGTTTGGATAATTTACTCTAATGCTCCAGGAAAATGCTCGTCTCATGTCATCTCTAGGGGTAAAACCATGGTTAGGAATCCCCTGTATAGTCTTACATATTTTTTTATCCTAATACTAATATGTTTGAGTATATGTTAATAAAAGTAGTAGGAAAATAGCTGTGTTGCAACTTGCATTTTGTATTTTACAATAAATTTTAGATACCTTTCTATGGTAGTTTATAAAAATTGTTATTTGTATGATTGTACAGAGATATGCCAATCCCCCCAACACATGGATATCTTTGGGTGCTTGGGGAAATATTTATGCAGGATCATGGAGTTGTCAAAGTATATATGTGCTCTACATTTTAATTGATATTAAACTTCTGTAAGTCTCATTTTATGTTACTATTAATGATCTAAGTGCCTATTTCCTTACATGATAGTAATACTAATATTATAAATCATTTTAATTTTGTTAATCTGTTACCTAAATAAAAAAAATTTTAATCCCAATTTCCATGTATTTACTTCTGGGGGAATTTGGGTATCTTCAAAGGAAAAAATGGGCTCTCTTTTCTTATATTACATATTTATTTTTCTCTTTGATTATTTTTCTATTTCATCATTAATGGGTCTTGAATGATAGGGATTTTTATACTCTTATATCTGATGCAATCATTTTCACTATTGTAATTTGTATTTAAGAGTTTCAAGATATATTTCCTTGCTTAGAAAGCACTGTTACATCCCGCCATGATAAAAATTTCCTCATAATCAACTTATTTTAAGTTATACATACATTAACTACATTTTCATTCTAATTCTATTCTTATCTCTTGAACAATTATGTCTGAAAAGTTTGTCATATAGCATGTTATAGGAATCCTGGATGTTCCAAAGTAAAAATTTCAGTGTTTCTGGGTTAGCCAGCTTTTTATTGCTGCAACCAAATACCTGAAGTAAACAAGTTAGAGGAGGAGAGATTTATTTTGGCTTAGCTTCATAGGTGTTGCAGTCTATTGTTGGCTGGTTCTGCTGCTTTAGGGCTGTGGCAAGGCAGAACACCATGGCAAAAGAGTGTGGCAGAACAGAGCTGCTCAACTTATGGCAGCCAGGAAGCAGAGAGAGGAAAAGCTTGCCAGAGGAAGGAGCAGGAGACATGATATGGTTATCAAGATTGTGTTCCAAAATTCACTCATCCTAATAAGATCCCACTTTCTGTTTCCATCACTTTCCAATAATGCCATCAAAGTATCATCTAATCATTAAATTAATCCATTGGTGGAGTTAGAACCCTTATGAACTAATTGTTAATAGAAATGCCCACAGATATTTAGAACGCTTTTCTAATTTGCTAGGCCTTTCTCAGTCCAGTCAAGCTCACAATCAAGATTAACCCTAAAATTGGTAAAATAGAAAAGACAATAAGTAAGAACTACCTCAAAGGTCATTTACTTTGACTGCCTCTCATTGATTCTGCCTCTTTTGACTGCAGTGCTCTGATTTTCCCCTTCCTACTTTCCTCCTTTCATTCTCCTCCCTTCCCCGCCCTTTCTCTCTCCTCTCCTCTTTTCCTTTCCATCTCTTCTCTCCTTCTTTCTCAGGGTCTTTCTGTGTTGTACAGGCTGGTCTGCACTCCTAGGCACAAGTAATCATCCTGCCTCGGTCTCCTAAGTAGCTAGGACTGTAGATGTATGCTACCATACTCGGCCCCTTTCACCTTTTTTTTTTTTGTTTTCGAAATTCTTTTTCCCTATGGTGAGATGGTCACCCACAGAAGCCATTGCATTACCCTAAGGAGACGTGACAGTAACTTAGCCTAGGGTAGATGGGAAGTGGTTAGAATCAGGATTTGCTAATGGTGTGTGAGGGAGAGAGAAATCAATAGTGACTTTAAATCTTTCTCTTTTTTTGTTGTGTGGTCAGAGTAGATGGTGATACCATTTACTGAGATAGGCAGATACATAGATACAGATATAGATATGTAGATATAGATATATGGCACCTAGGAGAAGATTAATGGGTCATAGGATAAAGACTTTTCTACCTGCAACCACTCTAGAAAATTTCCACTTTTCCAAAGTAATTTTACCACAGTTAATCCTTTTAGAAATTATATATGAGAGTACAAAGTGCTCTGCATATCACTAATATTTTATAAGACCAGTCCATTGGTTTATCCATCTGTTTATCTAAAATCTGGATTTTGTTGACTTCCTATGAAGTATTGATTTGGTTTTGGCTTGAGGATACATTTCTGGCTAATTATCTTGAACTTGTTGAAGCGTAGTTTTACCTTTTATCAAAGTGAGCCCTTGGAAAGCTTCAGATATTTACAAAGACTCTGTTTGGCCGATGCTATGGTCTGAATATTTGTGTTCCTCCTGAATTCATAATTTGAAATCCTTTCCATACCAAAGTTATAATAATCTAAAGAGGTGCTATGTAAGGACAGCAAAAGGATGGCCATCCGTGAAACACAAAGTAGGTGTTTACTAGACTGAATTTACTGATGCCTTGATCTTGGACTTCTCAGCTTTCAGAACCATGAGAAATAAATTTCTCTTGTTTGTGATATTTTGTTAGAGTAGCCAAATCAGAGTAAGGCAGATGAGATTCAAACATGAAATGCTGTCTCCCTAGTGGTGGACAGCAGCTGAAGTCTTTGCTCAGTCTTCTAGCAAATCCCCCCACCAGGCTCCTTGTACTCTTCCCTGCAAATGCACACTCCAAGCTTTGCAAAGAATTTGAAGGGTGTTGATAAGAAGATTTGGGGCAGTTGTTACCTCTTTTTAAAAAGATTTCTCTCCTTGATTTTCTGCCCCAAACTATGACACCTCAAGTATGTAGCTTTTTACTTGAGAAAATGTCTACTATGGACCCTTTCGATGTTGATCTGTTCTTTAAGGGTTTCTACCCTTCAATTACCTGATTGTTTTGCCCATCCTTTAGTGAATAGAGACTACTTTTTCAAATTTAGTTGTCTGGAGAGATTTTAGATTAACTTAAGCAATGTCACCATTTTGAAAAAAATCAAATTCCATATCAGACATTCAATAGTGGTTATATTTAGGTGATATGATTTTGTGAATTATTTTTCTTTTTTAAATGCATGCCAGTATTTTTAAATTGCCTTCCACAAACATATTTCTTTTGTAAAAAAAGAATAATGTACTTAAAGCCAGAGAGGA